TAGAGTTGTAAGATAGAACAGCATCTTCTGTTGCTATCTCTTAAACTCAGTACCGTTAAATTTTTCCCGTTTTTCTCCATGATTTATTGGTACTTAATCATGGTTCTGGATAGGGACCAGGGTTGGTGTAATAGTTAGAGTACCACTACCAGTTGCAGATTCAGTTGTAGTAGCCATAATATCTTATTACAAAAATTAGGAAAAACGAACCACGAATTAATTTTCTAGTTACTAAAACCAGAAAATAAATTATAACACAAAATAATTTTATTTTCCTTGTTACTAAAACCAGAAAAATAAAATACCACAATAATTTTCTGTAACACCAAATAATATTCTACAATTGTTAATGACACCATTATATTACTACTAGTTGTCAAAGAAAATAGATAGTATATTACTACTATCTGTCACATAGTTTATAATTACTATTTGTATTTTCCAATCAAAATATCACTTTGTGAAAACACAAAAAAATAAATACAATGAAGACACAAAAATAGTATGCCTTAAGATTGTTGGACAATCTTCACTGTATTTAGAAAAATAAATTCTGATGTGTACTTAATAACAAACAGAATACAGAAGAAATAAAGGAAATGAGAGAATTTGTTTGATTACAGAAATCAAACCAGTAAAATAAAATAAAATAAATAAAACAGATTTTTATTTTGTTACAAAAATAAAATCAAAATCTGATTTAAATAAATAAATAAAACCAGAAAATAAATAAACAACTTACTTGATTAATTTCTAGAATAATATTCTGATCAAGTCCAGTGTTCAACACTATGTCCTTAAGACATATTCGTCCTCTCCACGGTACTCTCAGAATATAGACGTCTATCTCTCAGGATAAAATGATCTATCAACGAATAAATACAGCATTACAATTTATTCGAACAACGAACACACTAAGTGTATATACTCTTTCTCACAAGGAAAATAATGCAGCAATATGTAAGAATAATAGCAGAATTATTATGGACGAAAATTGTGAATAAAAGCATCAAATGAGGGTTGCCTATTTATAGATGGATTGGTGGCTTTTCAATTTAAATCCAACGGGTAGCAATCTATTTTGAACAGATATAATACCTGTTCGGCATTGTTAGAACATGTTCAATATGTTCGGTTTTGAATTTTGAACAAATAACCGAATCTGTTGCACAGATTTGAATTTATTTCGAACAGATCAATTCTGTACAGGAGAAAGCTAGATAGATTTGAATTAATCTGATACCTGTTCGGCACTGTTAGAACAGGTTCAATCTGTTCGGTTTTGAATTTTGAACACATAACCAAATCTGTTGCGCAGATTTGAATTTATTTCGGATAGATTAATTCTGTACAGGAGAAAACTGGATAGATTTGAATTAATCTGTACAATCTTTGAAGATGTGCAAAATAATTTGAATTCAAACAGATTTTATTTATCAAGAATAAAATTAAATTTAAATGTTTTTTATCCAAAAAGATTAGTATTGGGTCGGACAAGCCCAACCCAACCTCACATCATGCACCTGCGCCCAAGGCGAGGCCCAACCAGCCCGCCCGGACGACCGGCGGCGGCTGCAGCAGCGCACGCGTGTGGCTATTTTTGGGTCTAGCCCAATTTGCCCATAACCTCTCCCTTCTACAAACTTCGGGTGCCCCTTGAGGCCTTCCCCAAGTTATAATTCTAAGCTATATAAACCTAATCAAAACTTCTCACCAAACCAATGTGGGACAAGCCAATTTCCAAACCTTAAGAATTTTTCACCAAAAACTCCATTTCCATGGAGCATACTTTGGCTTCAATTTCTCATTCACCCGATAATGGTTTTGAGCAACCAAATATATCACGTGAATTCAACGCGGCATAGAACGCGTTACCACTTAGACCCGCCAAATTTGGCGTACGGGTCCCACCTAAATAATAGACCAAAGTTAGGAAAAATTCTGTTTTTACCCAGAATTTTCAAACCATTTCTAACATGTGGTTTACATCAAAATTTAATTTTGATGCAATGGCTAATAAAACAATCATCTTAAGCATTGTTTTGATGAGTTTGATGCACTAAAGAACAACTTAGCCATGTGAAATGTTGAATTTGGCTAAGAATGGCCAATTTATTTGAAGTAATGGCAATTTAACTTTATTTTATTTTAATTTAATTTCTGAAATTTTCAAGCTTTATGGACAACCACATAACACCATAACTAACTTTGTGGAGTGGTTTGATTTTGGATTTCATCTATGAAAATTTGTTTTGACTTTGGAAGACATTGGTTAATTTCCTTTAAGGTAAGACCAAAAGTTTGGTCTTTACATGTATTGGAGATGGCTCTAGGATGTCTTCAAAGTAGTTCTATCAATTATTATTATTTGATATGAATCAAAACATGTGCTTCGGAAGTCCTTTTTGTTGAGACTTTGAAAGCTTTAAAGGACCGTCTGTTGTATCAACAACAGTTTTGGGTTTCAAACAATCGATGGTTGGAAGTGATTATACACCTTCGAAGCTTAGGGAATTGTTTTGAAAGTTAGCTACTCACATTCGAAGCTTTGAGAATTGTTTCAAAGGTTGGTTACTCACCTTCGAAGTTTTGGGAATTGTTTTAAAAGTTGGCTACTTGCTTTTGAAGCTTCAAGAATTGTCTCGAAGGTTGGTTACTCACCTTCAAAGCTTTCAGGAATTATTTTGAAGGTTGGCTACTCACCTTTAAAACTTTGGTAATTGTCTTGAAGGTTGGTTACTCGCCTTTAAAGCCTCAAGAAATGTTTCGAGGGTTGTCTATTTACCGATTTTAAGTATACCACGAAACAAGAGAAGTTTCGGGTATGCTATAATCTCGAAGTCGAACATAATATTGGAACTATGTCAAATCATTTCAAAGGTCCACAAATTTGGCTCGGAGGTGGGTTAAAACTCCCTCAAAAGCACTTCGAAGGTCCATATATTTGGTTCGAAATTAATTCAAACTGGAAAACACTTCAAAGTTCCATATATTTAGTTCGAAGGTGGCTCGAAACTCCCTCAAAAGCACTTTGAAGGTTCATATATTTGGTTAGAAGGTAATGCAAAACTCTGCAAAACACTTTAAAGTAGTGTAATTTAAAGAGTGTGTATGTTGTTTGTCACTTCGAAGTAATTAGAAGTAGTGCAATCAGAAGTGAAAATATATTGTTAAGGTCTGAAGAATCATGCTTTGAAGGTCTTAAAATTTTCATAGTCTTATGATGCATCGAATGTCTCAAAGTAAAGCATAAAAGGGCCAACTGTTACTAATGGCTCAAAGAAAATAACATTGGCATGCATTGTGACTAATTCAAATTGGCGATATGTTGCTAAGAATTCATCATTTCAAACACATGCAAAGTAATCTAATTTCGAAATACACATTAAAATTCAAAGCATGTGAAATTATTTTAATTATGTTTGAAACTTTATAAACTCTATAAGCAGGTATAGCTATTATGCATTCGAAGCTTTTAAAGCTTCTAAAATATGCTGTGAGCACCTTTGGAGCAAGGTTTTGGTTCTTTTTTAACAAAATTGAATCATGCTGTATGATAAAAGAACATTCGAATATATGTCTCCCTTTGAATACATTAATTAATTGCCAAATTGATGTACAACTCTTTATGAATTTGAGGTTCCTTATTCTGAAAGAGTTACGAAGGGTAATGTTGGCACCATAAATAAATAATTTTATTATTATTGATAAGTTGCAGGACACGTAACACTGTTTTACTCATTTGGAAGTTATGAGAAGTTATGAATCATTAAACACATGTGAAAAGATGATGAAGAATGTGGAGGATCACGGAGTATGAATGGGAGGTTAAAAGAAGTTATGGAAACATAAAGATAAAGTGAAAGATCATAGAGTGTGAAGTATGGGAAATGGGAGAATGTGGTAGTTATTAGGTAGTTTTTTCCTACAAATGTTTGCCTATAAATAGCCATTTATGGCTGCATTGTGAGGAGCCAGAACTAAAATCAAAGACAATTTATTTATATTTTTTTTATCATTTATATTTCTTTTACTTAATTTTTTGGACTTCATTTTCGAAGCATCGGAGTATAGGTAAATTTTCTGCACTTCCTTTTCAAGGTATAGGATTAGAGGTAAATTAATGGTTAGTTTAATTGTTCACTCAATCATCTTTCTCCGTCTCCCTCATTCTTCTTTTAATTTTTCTTTTATTTACACTTGGCAATTTTAAAGTCCTCTTCATTGAGTCAAAAAAACCGTTAATATAATCGCTTGATAATTGACTTGAATTTAATTTTTAAAGATTTTTCTTTTTTATCATTTATATTTCTTATACTTAATTTTTTGGACTTCATTTTCGAAGCATCGGAGTATAGGTAAATTTTCTGCACTTCCTTTTCAAGGTATAGGATTAGAGGTAAATTAATGGTTAGTTTAATTGTTCACTCAATCATCTTTCTCTGTCTCCCTCATTCTTCTTTTAATTTTTCTTTTATCTACACTTGGCAATTTTAAAGTCCTCTTCATTGAGTCAAAAAAACCGTTAATATAATCGCTTGATAATTGACTTGAATTTAACTTTTAAAGATTTTTCAATCTTTGCTATCATGCTTGCATTTATGATATTTTCACTCGTAGAAAAAATAAGCCAATAGAAGCTTAATCTACTCAAATAATATTGTCATTTATTTTATGCTTAATGTTAGGATACACAAGGATATGTACAATATGTAAATTATACCATTTATATGTTTGATTATCACAAATAGTATGACTCAATATTAATTAGAAAAAAAAAATTATAATCAAATATCATATAAAAAAAAAATCCCTTATATTATAATTAAAATAATATTATAATAAATGGCATACATCACAGTACAAACATGGCCCAAACCCGGCCCGGTTTTGTCCACCCCTCATGATAGGATAAAATATGCTAATTATCCTATTGGAGACTCTCTCTCCCTCTCTCTCTCTCTCTCTCACTCTCACAGTCAACAGAGAAAGATGGCCACCGTGCTGGAGCCGCTGCCCCCACCACCCCTCTCCGCCGCGGCTCCGCGTCTTCCGATGCCATTTCCATCGCCACCGCACCGCCTCGCCAATTCACGTTGTTGGAGTCGCGGCCACTCAATTTCTTGCAAACCTCAAACTGTAAGTCTCTCTTTCCCACTCACAATTTCCATTTTTTTTTCTTTTTTTATAATCTTATTTAGATTCATAATATCTTTGTTTGATATTGCTATTAAAAAAATTTAAAAAAAAAAAAGTTTAAAATTACTTGTATGGAATTTTAAGCTGTGCTTGTTGTGTTTTAGATTTGTGAAGGGATTTGTTGAGGATAATAAAGTGGAAGCGAAAAGTGAATGGAATCAATAATAATACTATATACCCAGAATTTTTATCTAGAATTTTATTCAGAATTATTAATGTGTGGTCCAAATTCATTTTTGAAGCTAATAGTAGTAGATAACAGTGATATGTAGATACAATGTGGCCTAATTAGATCATCTTATCTCTAAATCTATATGTGGGTATTGTGTGCTTAGAAATGGAACTTCGAGAAGTCGAATCATCGATGTACATTGTGAAATTAGTGAAATGCACATTCATTATAGTGGTGGAACTAGTGTTGGAACTATTAGAATGTGAATTAATTGGAAATAGATTTGTGTAGAGAGGGTGTAGTCCCTGCAAATAAGTGTGTTATTAACAATCACCGCCTTTTTCCCCAGTAAATTCAATTCAAGGCATATTGTATTAGTGAATCAGCTCCGTTCCACAATCCCAGTAACATTTAAGCACAACAAAATAACAAATGTACTGTTGGAAATTACATGTGAAACCCATTTAAACATGTTCACAAGCCAATTCAGCTAAGCTTGGCCTTGTATGTATGGACTTGGTTCATTTATTAAATGATCTTGAGAATGAGACTCGAGCTTGGTATGTTAACAAACAAGATTGAATGAACCTAACTCAAGCTAAGCCCGTGCTGGTCATGAAATACTTGGTTCTTTTGCACCCATTGCCTAATGATCACATAGTTAAAACTGAATTAAGTTAGTTGGTCCTGAAACCAGATAGCTTCTGGTCCATTAATGTAGATGAATCACTACCACAATTTGGATACTCACATAGCAGCATGTAGTATTATTATTATATAGTTTATTATGGACAAAGCAGTTGATTTTGAATAGATGTAAGAGATTCCATGTTCCAGTGTCTTGGTGTAATGTGAATATTCACTTTATAAAATGAAAGGAATGAAATTAACCAAACTAGGAAAGTGAATGGAAGATAGATAATGATCTGTTAGACTTGCAAGATGCACTTTGGTAAAAAGGGAGTTCACCATGACAGTATCAATCACCCAGATTCAGGTAATTAGATCTTACACATTATTGATTCCTATGATTCTTAAGTTACTTCTGATCTGAAGATTGTCCTGCCAAGCTGCTATCGAACTTTTTTTTTTTCCATTTTCCCTATACAAAAATAAAATAAATAAGTCGGATGAGCATTTTTCTAGTGGTATTTTGTTTACTAATGAGGTGTCAATATTCTTGAGTATGCAGATTTATGTTCTATAAACTAGCATTCTAGATGAATTTGCCCGCGTCTGCATGATCAATGGCATTATCCCATCTGCAATGGATACTCACACAGTACATTTTGTATTATATAATCAGACTAAAGATTTTGCTGTTCCAAGGAGGAATGCAATGGCATTGATCTTTTCAAGTTATATCTTGTCAAGGGTTGATCTACACGACATTGCATTTGCTCAACAATCCGTTGTGTTCAGGGAATACATAGATACTTTTGATGGCTATTCATTCAAGTACCCACAAAACTGGATTCAAGTCCGAGGTGCTGGTGCAGACATATTCTTCAGGGACCCTTTTGTTCTTGATGAAAATCTTTCTGTGGAGTTATCCTCTCCTTCATCTTCTAGTTACAAGAGCGTGGAAGATTTGGGTTCTCCACAAGAAGCTGGAGAGAAAGTACTTAGGCAGTATTTGACAGAGTTTATGTCTACCCGGCTTGGTGTTAGGCGTGAATCAAATATTCTTTCTACGTCTTCGAGAGTAGCTGATGATGGAAGAATGTATTATCAAGTTGAGGTAAGACAGTTGTGACATTGAAAAAATAAAAATAAAAATAAAAAATTGCAGTTACCTTAGTTGCTCTATATTGGTAGGTTCAAAATATAGTTTATTTGGCCTTTCTAATTTTTTCCGCTGATTTTTATCCTATGGTGCTGTAAGCAGGTAAATATAAAGTCGTACGCAAACAACAATGAATTAGCTGTGATGCCAGAGGATCGAGTAGTGCGTTTGGAGTGGGATCGGCGTTACCTTTCTGTTCTTGGAGTTGAAAACAGGCAATTGTATGAATTGAGATTACAAACACCCGAAAATGTATTTGCAGAGGAGGAAAGTGATCTTCGCCGAGTTATGGATTCTTTCAGAGTGAACAAAGTAGCTGGTTGATCCATTAGAAAATTTGGAAGCTTTTCCACGCGTTTTGTAATTCCAGATTTTGTTTCTCTCCTTTTATTGTTTTCCAACTTGCAGTTGTTGCTTTATTAGCAGCAATAATTTGAGTTATATATTGTATGGTTTGTAGTATTACTTTTTCTTCTCTCATCTGTTTTGATTTCTTAAGGTAGTTGTAATTAAGGTGATTTATCCATAAGTTATTTCACTTTGGTTCTTTTACTTTTATTGCCATTTTTATGTTTTATTTACTTATTTTTGGGGTAAGGATTACGTATATGCCTTAACCATAAAAAGGTGTCTCCAAACAAATATTCTTCTCCCACAATGGCCCAAAGTAAGTTTTCAATTGAGTTTTCATTGCATATAGAGATAAAACTGTTTGGTTTTGGAATTTCAAAAATAGTTTTTAAGTTTTCAATTATATTTTTTTGTTTTTAGTGACTTGTTCGGATTTTATTTTTTATTTTTACTTTTTTTAAACTCTTTAGATCTGCTTAATCTAGATACATTTATTTAAACTGTACAAAATTTGTGAAAAAATCTTTTAAAAAGTCACTAAATACCAACATCTCATAAACTCAAAATCAAGTTGTACAGCTATTGCATCGACAAAATCAGTTTACAAAGTTTAGATTCCTACAAGGTTTGTGCTTCTAGTCCTTTGGTTACTCCCTTTGATTGACAAATTACAATGGATGAAATAATTTCCAGTAAAACAGTATAAGCACTCTGCAGAGAAACCGAGCCATAAAACTCAGCTTCAAGAATGGAAATATCACAGCAAATGGGACAATAATTATCTCAAACCTAGTAGAAGCCTCTTTTTTTCAAACCCACATTGGCACAATAGTCGAGGCTATGACCTAACTTCAAACTCCCCTGCTCGTGTGAGAGCTCGAAAACCTTTGTATGGGCGATTAGGTAGATTCTTCAGATCCAATTTATCTATTTGCAGGCCGGAGAGAGCAACACCCATAATCCTGAAACCCACTTTAAACGTGGGAAATACATGAAGGCGCTCTAAGCCCGTCTCAAGGACTAGTGTCCCAGACATTGATGGGGCTTTATCTTTTGGGATCCGTCCGACTGACCAAGAGCAGGTCTGCAAACACATGATAAGCATAAGAATCAAAAGCTAACCAGAGAAGATAGATCATATCAATGTGCCATTCTTGTCCCACAACTTGACAAATCTAAAAAACTAATTACAGGAAGCTAGCAAAAGCCAAAACGAGTTAAAGGGCCTGTTTGGTGCAACTTGCAAGCTACAAGCTAATAAGCAAAAGCATAAGCTAAAAGCATTCCCTTCCCTGCTTCTCAATAATCAGTTTTTTTTAAATTATTTAAGCTATTTATGCCTCAAGCTATGAGCAGAAGTTTCACCAAAGAAGCCCCAAAAGCTATAAGAAGCCCCACAAGCTGCATCGAATAGGGCCAAAGAAAGAGGGAATTTCTGAACTTTCTAGTTCGTACAGCTAAATAAGATTCCACGTGTATTCTCAATGGAAAGAAATGCCAGTTAGAAGATCTAATTTTTTTTCCTCTTGCTACAAGATTGACATAATGACTTGCTGTAAAATTATTACACCAAATACAAGTACTATAATAATACCAAAAATTGATACCTTATCAGCAAGGATGTTTACTGTTCCGTGATTTGAGGTCAGATCAGCTGATAAAATGCAAGGGGGCAGTTGAAATTGGACAGTTATTGAATCGATTGTCTTTCCAGGATCATTTCGTATTCCTACCAAAACACTGACTCGACATGTCCCAGAATCTGAGGTTAGCTGTGGCTTTACATATATCGGAGTACTCTTCAACTTTTTGACTCTGTAAAGGGATAATAATTATAATAAAAAAAAAAAATGAATAATAAGGTTTTAGCTGATATAAGAAATAAAACATTTTACAATCTGGAGAAATCAAAATAACACCAACATTCCATCCCACATTCATCTTACGTGCACGTGCCCAAAGCAAGCTAAAGTTTTCCCCATTCTGCTCAAAGATTTAGACATAAGAATAAATGTTTCATCAACCTGACACACCTGTAACTCATGAGCTTAAACTGCCCATCAGGAGGCACAAATGACAGAATCTGGTGGGATTCCCATGGACGAAACCGAACACATGGATGGAATCTCACATCATTTAGAATAGAAGGATTTGCAAATGAAAGAGTCAAATCAGGAAGACCTGAGAGATGGGAGTTCACTTGAACTTCACCATAAACCTCGCATTTCACCAGCGCTCCATCCCTGAGCAACAAAAGCAAAGAGAAAGTAAGTTAAAACCAAACTAAACCTTGCGTCCCAATCAAGTGGGTTGGCTACAAGGATCCTTTTGGGAAAAGTGCATTCAAGTGGAAACAACTCAAAATAATTGCATTTTCATGGAGGTGCAAGTCAAAGCAAGTGAGAGCTGTGTTTCATGCCCACAACTTTCACTTGCACCTCCATAAAAGTGCAATTGTTTTGAGTTGTTCCCATTTTAATGAGCTTTTCCCAATCTTTTTTTGCCATTCAGCTCTATCAAAAGCCATATGTTCAGTTAAATCAAATAAATTCATATCGTTTTTCACTATAACATCCCATGTCAGGTTAGGTCTTCTCCTCCCCCTAACATTTCCATTTATGTTGATCATATAACTCTTCATTACTGTTGCATCTATAGGTCTTTGTTGACCTATAATAATTTTTGCATACCATTGGAACTACCAAACAACAAAGTTTTTATATATCATTGGGAGTAACAAAAGGTATAGGAACACTGGAAAAGTATTAAAAAGAATATAAAAAATTAAACTTTCAGATTCCAAATTGTAAAATAAACATGTCAAAATTTCAAATAGATCAGTAATTAGACCCAAAAAAACTGCAGAAGCAACCAGGTAAAGCAATATCTATAAATAGGATATCCATCCTTGTCTATATCTACCATCAACTAAGAATTTTAGTTAGGGATAAAATAAGAAGCAATAAAATCTAATTAAGTTAATTCCAAAAATTAAATCAGGACTGACCTTAAGAGATTTGTCCTCTAAATTGAATATTTGTCAGTTGCTGAAATTACAATCCAACCATTCTGATTTTCAAAATCTTCTGGTGTGCTTGGCAGGAGAGAAAGAGATCAGAACAACTATTTTTTTCCCCCCTTGAGTTCATTTGGATCAAAGATTTCTGAAGAAATTTATGAATGAAAAGGAAAAATGAAGGGGAAAATGAAGAAATAGAGCTTCTTTTTTTTCTTTTCTTTTTTCAAAAAAAAAAAAATCTAAAAAATAAAAGATAAAAATTCCATTTTCTTTTCCTTTCCTTCCTTACGGATCAACCAAACAAGAGAAAGGAAGGGATTTGGAAAAAAATTCACTTCTTTTCTCTCCTACATAACATAGTACTAGTGATCACAAAATCAATAAGCTATCTCCTCTCCTTGAAATAGTTTCTGATGTCTACCCTTGCAACTTTCCTTCCTTTATTGCCTCGTGAACCTTCACCGCTCACCTATCGTCCTATCACCAATTTGTCATGACATTCTTGCTTGGATGGTGCAAGACAGCTTTTCAAGTCAACTCTGATCTTGAAATTTTTCTAAAAGCTTCAAAGGGAGCATGGCAAGGTTCATGGAGCTGTCATTCTAGCAGTGGCTACCAGTCAGATAGAAATGCTTTTATTCACTTCATATATTTATTTATTTTTTAAAGTCTCATTTATTGGACACAATCAATATAAAACATAACAAGTTTGCGGTGTTTTTATTCCACATAAGTTTAGAGACAATATGTAGATGAGCAAATCCACCTATGATTATTCGGAAGCCCAAAATTGATGGCCACTCCCTTGGACAAAGAATTACTTTCTCAAAAATCAATTCTTAAGAAGTTGGATTATTTTCTTTTCTCAAGAAAGGCTGGTCAGGAAATGCCCTTAAAGCTGATATTTCTGCTTACAGTGTCCTTAAAGTTGATATTCCACAATCATAAATTTGTTCTTTAAAAGTTTCCCAGCTTGCAGTGTCAAATTTCATAATAAGATATCAATGGCATGTAACCCCAGAACACATTCTAAGAACTCAGCAAATTTCAAATAACCAACATTGAAAGAACAGAAGAAAACTGAAATTACCAAGAGAGTATCTAACGAAAATAGATACAGGAAATCTTTAACTACAGACCTGTTTATTATTGCATCCATTTCTTCAACGAGATCAACATAAACTTCATTATTTGAATGTTTCAGGTCCATTGTCCTCCATGGAACACAAGTTGCTGTTGCACCTGGAAGGGTGTTGCTCACATTGGAACTGTTGCCAGTCACAACACTCAACATTTTGCTAACAATATTTGGAGGAGGTATCATCTCCCTCAGGATGTTAGGCTCTGTTGTGAGAGGGAATCCATTATCTATCATCTCCTCCAAAAGCTGCAAGTTGCAGCAAGCCAAAAAATATAAAGGTCACTTTGAGTTATAACAAAACTGACCAACCTGGGGAGAAGGTAAAGAGAAGAAAGCTAAAGTAAGGAAATAGGGGAAGGGCAGTGAGGCTCTTCGAGAAAGATGGTCACAAGTTTAGAATATCCTTTTATGATATAACAAACTAAATAATAACATCTGCATTGCCAGCTCATTAGGATAAGCAATCTAATATTAGATGAATCATTTAAAGTACCACATAAAGCTTACATGAATATTAGTGAACAAAAGTAGGCAAGAGGTCAATAGTTTTTCCAAAAAAATAAACACTAGATACCAATCATTAAAAAGAAAAAATTGTAGCCACATTCAAATTGCAAAATATGTATGACGTAGCCAAGACAAACCACGTGCATGCACACACGCATCCACACATATAGAAACAGTCCTAATTATTTAAAGGTTGAACTCGAGCCCCTCTATAAAGCATAAAATTGTCATCTTATTAAAAAAACACCAATATCAAAGATACCATTTAATCAACTACTAAACAATCCAGTTATTGATTACTAAATGTGTGTATATAAAAGATAATATTCATGACTAGTACATGATTTTTCACCCTGATTTCAATATCCTAAAGCATAGATGATCCCTGTGACATATGTACACAAAACCTATAACAGCTCCTCAAACCAAAACACTAGTTCTAGGAAGATAGTTATGCTGAGAATTGTTACAACCATTTCCTTAAAATACGATCAGCACTAAAACAAGATTTTGTATAAATACCTCGTATACAATAACAAAGTTATCCTTGATCAAATCTTCATTCATCCCTCCAAGATAATCAGAGAGAACATCAGCCACTCTGCAAAGGAACTAATATCAAGGAGTTAAGGGTAAGAGAGCTTGATGGTTTTGATGCATAAAGAAATAAAATGTAGCTGTATGTACTACATAACCAGCACATACACCTCATGGCTAGAGGAGCACATAAAAATCAAGCATTCCGTTTGGGAAGAAGTTGGTTGGGCTTTTTTGGCTATTTTAGCCACAAAAAACAAAATAGGCTATTTTAGCCATAACAAACAAAACATCACATCCAACCCATAATCATTACACTCTTCTCTCACAAAAAAAGGGTAAGAGAGCTTGATGGTTTTGATGCATAAAGAAACAAAATGTAGCTGTATGTACTACATAACCAGCACATACACCTCATGGCTAGAGGAGCACATAAAAATCAAGCATTTGAAACAAAATAAAACAGGGTCAATTACCCCAAGACCCCCTCAAACTATTGGTGAATATCACTTTACCCCTCTCATCTATGAACATGCTCATATTGACCCCTCAACTATTAAATCGTACAAGTACACCCATTTTGAAGGTGGTCTAGAGGGGGATGAAAGTAATACATTTTCATAGTTGAAGGGTCAAAATATACAGGTTTACAGATGAGAGGGTTAAGTTGATATTCGCAAATAGTTAAGGTAGTCTTGGTGTAATTAACCCAATAAATAACCTAATTTCAGCACTTAGTCCCAGTTAGAGTACTTAAAGCTACAAAAAATAATCAAATCAACTTGAATCAATATGAGAAGGTGCATCTAAAATGTCATGAAGTAATATTGGAAGAAGAACATAGTTCATAACTACTAATAGAATGAATGTGCACTCTTATGTTAGGACTCCTGTCATAGTTCCACTTCCAGGTTGTGTTCTAAAAAAGTACACTTTGCTTAAAGTTAAAAATAATCAAATCAAAATTGATCTCTCATAAAAAAGGTTCCTCATCAGTTCATTGTTGTCCTTCCTTTTCACATTTTCATTTTCCATATTAATTCAAACTTACTTGAGTCACTTGCACCAACCCAAGCCTATGCTCAAACAACATTAATTTTCTGAACCACTGCTATTGTTCTATGCCTTATAAAGTTTTTCAGGCATATTAGTAGTTTAGTACTTGTACATTCCAACATGCTACAAGAATAAATCATATAAAAGGTCATGCTAATGACAGCCCAATGGACTATCAGTAAGGGGGAAAAATGCCCAAAAAGTTAGAATCTCGACTTATTTTTTACAAATCCCAAAGCACTTCCACATATTTCTATACATTTCTCACATATTTCAATGCACTATTTGCACGTCCACTGAGGCTAATGACAGCCCTTTGGATGGTCATTGGCATTTTCCTAATGGCAGCGTAAATGAATATGAATGGACATATTGTTTTACAATATCTTACTAACATCACCAGTTAAAACAACTTAGAGCAAAGCAAGACTAGTTCTTACTGTTATCATTGTGACAGAATTATGAAAATGAAACGAAATAACATTGGCTAAACCATAATCTAGTGGCAGAAGTTCCTAATTGGTAACAGAGGGCTCCCCTCATCCTACCTTTTCAAGGTGAATAAGATGATATGGTGTGAGTTTGTCTTCCCATTATAGAGATTTTCAACATTTGTTGACACTATACCTTAAATTCCGACAGAAGTACATCAAGATTCAACCAATCAAAGGGCGATTTTGTGAGCTTGTGGGAGGGGCAACGATTTTGTTTCCTTGGAAGAGTGTATGGGTGACAGGGTCCCTGTCCAAGGTCCCTTTCTTTGTATGGACAGCGTCTTTAGGGCATATTTTGACTATTGATAATTTGATTCAGCACCGTTACATTTTGGTAAATTGGTGTTATATGTGTTGTAGAGATACAGAGTCGGTGGATCATTTGCTCATCCACTGCTCAATTGCGTCTCGGCTTTGGCTGCTTATTGTTGGGTTGTTTGGGTTGGTTTGGGTTTAGTCGGGTACGGTTGTGGAGGTACTCATGAGTTGGAGGGGGGTGAGAGTTGGGAAACGTCAACAGAAGGCGTGGATGCTTGGTACTCAGTGTTTGCTATGATTGATTTGGTTGGAGCGTAAAAAACGAACTTTCCAAGGGATTTCTCATTCGGTGCCATGGTTGGAGAATAGGCTTCTTTTGGTGCTTCATAGTTGGTTATGGTTTCGGGGGATTCGGATGTATTGGCTTTGTAAGCTTTCTGTATTTCTATATATTCAAAAATGTATCTTTGATTACAACCAGACCTTAGATTATATAACCTTAACTCTTAAACCAAAAAGAAAAATACAATCATGCCTCTAATAGGACTCTAATACAATCACTCCTCTAATAGGACTTTAATATGTACAACCATAATCATGCCTAATTTGTAAGATTCATGATATATTCTCACACCCCCGCTCAAACTCAAGGTGTTTTAGCAGAAAACACTGAGAGTTTGCTAAGAAGAAACTGAAACCGAGCGGTAGTGTGAGTCTTGGTGAAGAAGTCCACAAGTTGCAAAGCCGAAGAGATGAAAGGAAGCGAGATAGAGGCCGACTGCAGATGCTGGCGAACAAAGTGACAATTAATCTCAATGTGTTTCGTCCATTCATGAAAGATAGTATTGTGGGCAATCTGAACAGCACTGCGGTTGTCACAATAGAGAGAGGTCGGAGAATACTGAGAGACACCCAAATCAGACGAAAGACAACGAAGCCAAACAATTTCAGCAGTGGCGCATGAGCCATAGCACGATAAACCCAGGTATATCATCAACAAAGGACACATAATACGCAGAACCCCCTTTAGTGAGAACAGAAGAAGGTCCCCAGACATCAGTATGTACTAGAGAAAAAGGGGAAACAGAAATAGAAGTACTGTTATTAAAGGGTAAAGCTGTCATTTTAGCAAGTTTACACCCTCGACACTCATTAATTTGACTAGGAGAAACTTTACCTAACAATCCTAACTGAGCTAAAGACCGCAAGCGGTCAACAGACAAATGACCTAAGCGAGAATGCCATAAATAAATCTGACTCGACTGAGAATCTAACTAAAAAGATGAAAGTGCAACGGGGAAGGTAGACTAAGGAAGATGCAAGCTTTCCACCACATAGAAATCTCCAACTCTACGGTCGGTCCCAATTTGCTTCTTAGATACCCGATCCTGCACATAACAGACAAAAGAAGAAAAGATAACATCAAAACCAGAAGCATCAAGCTGACTGATAACAAGCAAGCTAACAGACAGTTGAGGAACATAAAGAACAGAGGAAATAGTAACAGTAGACATAACAGAGGGTAAAACAGACCCAATAGATAGGACAAACATACCAGACCCATTAGCAGTATTGATAGTAATAGGAAAGGGAGGAGGGATACAATTTTGGAGTAAGGAAATGTGAAGAGTCATATGATGAGAGGCACCAAAATCAAAAAGCCAAACAGAGGAAGGAATACCTGAAGAAGACCCATGCAAACCTGAATGAGGAGAGATGAGAGCAGCGCCAGATAAAGATGACTGAGAGGTGGACCAGAGATGTTGAAACTAAGCAATTTGAGAACTCAAGGAAGCCAAGTCAGGATCAGAAGCAGGGGCAGAGGCAGTATAAGCAGCAAGAGGGTGAAAAGTACTCGGAGCAGGACCTCGGGACTGTGGCTGAGGTGGCTGAGGTGACTGAGCAGACTGACGGCCCTTCTTGGGACAGTTGTAGTTCCAATGGCCCTTTTGATGGCAAAAAGCACACTCATCAAAAGCTAGTAGCCCCTTCTTGAGCTTTGCATTGGCCTGAAGCTAATGAGGTGGGGGGTTCGGTAGCAGAGGAGACAGAATAGGAGCCAAGAAGACAGATGAAGACAGAGTATGACTGGCCGTCTTAAGACGGGTTTCCTCGGAGAGGAGCTCACGAACAATAGCATCCATAGAGGGGAGAGGAGACCGATGAAAGATGCCACCACGGATAGCCTCATACTAAGGGGAGAGAGCCGTTAAGAATTGCACTAAATGGCCTTACTCGCGAAACTCAACAGCGTCAAGTGTCTTGAGGCTAGATGGTTCCATGAGAGTCAGATGATCCCGGAGACCTATCATCTGAATGTAAAAGTCTTAAATAGACAGATCCCACTGACGAACTTCCTGAATAGCTGTTTCCAACTCATACCGTTTGGCAAAGTTGGACTGCTGATAAACACTTTGTAAGTAATCCCCCACCTCTTTGGCAATGCTATATTTAGAGAACATCATCCCGATATGGTCATCCACAGAGTTATGGAACCAGGTCAAAACTTGAGCATTATCACAATCCCAAGTGTCACAGGAACTCAAATAGTCTTCTTCTTTGGGATCAGATGGATGAGGAACAGAACCAGAAGCATATTCCTATTTTTTTCAACCGAGAAGAAAATTTCTCATAACACTAGACGAATAAGCATAGTTGTCACTTGTAAGCTTGCCTTTAATAGCTTGGATTTTATCTTCTGACATTGTAATGAACTAGAAATAAAAGAACAAAGAACTTATGGGGTACAGTCATAAAATCCAATAAAGTTAAGGAGTCAACTTGTAATAATCCAAAGTTGAGACAGAGAGGTCAAAGTGGACTAAAATTAGAACAGAGAACAAAACCGAAGATAAAGAGGGCAAAACCGAGAGCAAAGACCAGAGAGAGAGCCAACGCAGAGGTTGCGAGAGAGTGAGAGAGATCCCTCAAGCCCAGACCAGACTCGTGACTTCAAACCCAGCAAGAGAAGGCAATCGCGATTTTGGCGAAGACAGAGAGGGCTGTCGTGACTTAAGAGAAGATTGTCACTACCCAACAAGACCTTCGTGGCTTCGGAGAGGGCTGTCGCGACTATCACGACCCAAAGAGGGCTGGCTTCGATCGACCCAGAAAGACTCAGCAAGCAGGAACGAAGAACTTCGAATGATCAAGGCCAGACCTAGGGTTTCGGATGTGGCTTTGATACCATGTAAGCTTTCTGTATTTCTGTATATTCAAAAATGTATCTTTGATTACAACTAGACCTTAGATTATATAGCCCTAACTCCTAAACCAAAAAGGAAAATACAATCATGCCTCTAATAGGACTCTAATATGTACAACCACAATCATACCTAACTTGTAAGATTCACAATATATTCTCACAGACTTTACAGATTTTTGTGGATGATTTGACTGCTTATGCTTTCTAATAAAATCTGATTATTTATTTATCAAAAAAAGATTCAAGCATCAATTTAATTGCTTAAATAAATGCTATCAAACAATACGACTATTGAATCTTGCATATGCTACTTGAACTCAGCCATCTAACGCTATGGAAATAACTTCTATAGACGGGGGCTAAGTAAAAGATTATTTTCAATCCCATTGATGATAGGATCAAGTTTAAGGTTGAAGTTCATGAGAGAGGGAATAATTTGAACTCAATTGAATGTGTCATGGCACTGAGCCTTATCATGCCTCTAATAGGACTCTAATACAATCACTCCTCTAATAGGACTCTAATATGTACAACCACAATCATGCCTAATTTGTAAGATTCATGATATATTCTCACACACCCGCTCAAACTCAAGGTGTTTTAGCAGAAAACACTGAGAGTTTGCTAAGAAGAAACTGAAACCGAGCGGTAGTGTGAGTCTTGGTGAAGAAGTCTACAAGTTACAAAGCCGAAGAGATGAAAGGAAGCGAGATAGAGGCCGACTGCAGATGCTGACGAACAAAGTGATAATTAATCTCAATGTGTTTCGTCCACTCATGAAAGACAGTATTGTGGGCAATCTGAACAGCACTGCAGTTGTCACAATAGAGAGAGGTCGGAGAAGACTGAGAGACACCTAAATCAGACGAGAGACAACGAAGCCAAACAATTTCAGCAGTGGCGCATGAGCCATAGCACGATAAACCCAGGTATATCATCAACAAAGGACACATAATACGCAGAACCCCCTTTAGTGAGAACAGAAGAAAGTCCCCAGACATCAATATGTACTAGAGAAAAAGGGGAAGCAGAAATAGAAATACTGTTATTAAAGGGTAAAGCTGTCATTTTAGCAAGTTTACACCCTCGACACTCATTAATTTGACTAGGAGAAATTTTACCTAACAATCCTGACAGAACTAAAGACCGCAAGCGGTCAACAGACAAATAACCTAAGTGAGAATGCCATAAATAAATCTGACTCAACTGAGAATCTAACTAAAAAGATGAAAGTGCAACGGGGAAGGCAGACTGAGGAAGATGCAAGCTTTCCACCACATAGAGATCTCAAACTCTACGGTCGGTCCCAATCTGCTTCTTAGATACCGATCCTGCACACAACAGACAGAAGAAGAAAAGATAACATCAAAACCAGAAGCATCAAGCTGACTGATAGCAAGCAAGCTAACAAACAGTTGAGGAACATAAAGAACAGAGGAAATAGTAACAGCAGACATAGCAGAGGGTAAAACAGACCCAATAGATAGGACAGACATACCAGACCCATTAGCAGTATTGATAGTAATAGGAAAGGGAGGAGGGATACAATTTTGGAGTAAGGAAATGTGAGGAGTCATATGATGAGAGGCACCAAAATCAAAAAGCCAGACAGAAGAAGGAATGCCTGAAGAAGACCCATGCAAACCTGAATGAGGAGAGATGAGAGCAGCGCCAGATGAAGATGACTGAGAGGTGGACCAGAGATGCTGAAACTAAGCAATTTGAGCCTCAAGGAAGCTAAGTCAGGATCAGAAGCCGGGGCAGAGGCAGTATAAGCCGCAGGAGGGCGAAAAGTACTCGGAACAGGACCTCGGGACTGTGGCTGAGGTGGCTGAGGTGACTGAGCAGACTGACGGCCCTTCTTGGGACATTTGTAGTTCCAATGGCCCTTTTGATGGCAAAAAACACACTCATCAGAGGCTACTAGCCCCTTCTTGAGCTTTGCATTGGCCTGAAACTGATGAGGTGGGGGGTTCGGTAGCAGAGGAGACAGAGTAGGAGCCAAGAAGACAAATGAAGACAGAGTCTGACTGGCCGTCTTAAGACGGGTTTGCCACAGAGGAGCCGTTAAGAATTGCACTAAACGACCTTACTCCCGAAACTCAACATAAGCGTCAAGTGTCTTGAGGCTAGATGGTTCCATGAGAGTCAGATGATCCCGGAGACCTATCATCTGAATGTAAAAGTCTTGAATAGACAGATCCCACTGACGAGCTTCCTGAATAGCTGTTTCCAACTCATACCGTTTGGCTAAGTTGGACTGCTAATTAACACTTTGAAAGTAATCCCCCACCTCTTTGGCAGTGCTATATTTAGAGAACATCATCCCGATATGGCCATCCACAGAGTTATGGAACCAGGTCAAAACTTGAGCATTATCACAATCCCAAGTGTCACAGGAACTCAAATAGTCTTCTTCTTTGGGATCAGATGGATGAGGAACAGAACCAGAAGCATATTCCTATTTTTTTTAACCGAGAAGAAAATTTCTCATAACACTAGACCAATAAGCATAGTTGTCACTTGTAAGCTTGCATTTAATAGCTTGGATTTTATCTTCTGACATTGTAATGAACTAGAAATAAAAGAACGAAGAACTTATGGGGTACAGTCATAAAATCCAATAAAGTTAAGGAGTCAACTTGTAATAATCCAAAGTTGAGACAGAGAGGTCAAGGTGGACTAAAATCAGAACAGAGAACAAAACCGAAGATAAAGAGGGCAAAACCGAGAGCAAAGACCAGAAAGAGAGCCAACGCAGAGGTCGCGAGAGAGTGAGAGAGATCCCTCAAGCCTAGACCAAACTCGTGACTTCAGACCCAGCAAGAGAAGGCAATCGCGATTTTGACGAAGACAGAGAGGGCTGTCGTGACTTAAGAGAAGATTGTCACTACCCAGCAAGACCTTCGTGGCTTCGGAGAGGGCTGTCGCGACTATCACAACCCCAAGAGGGCTGGCTTCGATCGACCCAGAAAGACTCAGCAAGCAGGAACGACGAACTTCGAATGATCAAGGCCAGACCTAGGGTTTCGGATGTGGCTCTGATACCATGTAAGCTTTCTGTATTTCTGTATATTCAAAAATGTATCTTTGATTACAACCAGACCTTAGATTATATAGCCCTAACTCCTAAACCAGAAAGGAAAATACAATCATGCCTCTAATAGGACTCTAATACAATCACTCCTCTAATAGGACTCTAATATGTACAACCACAATCATGCCTAATTTGTAAGATTCACAATATATTCTCACAGACTTTACAGATTTTTGTGGATGATTTGACTGCTTATGCCTTCTAATAAAATCTGATTATTTATTTATCAAAAAAAGATTCAAGCATCAATTTAATTGCTTAAATAAATGCTATCAAACAATACGACTATTGAATCTTGCATATGCTACTTGAACTCAGCCATCTAACGCTATGGAAATAACTTCTATAGACGGGGGCTAAGTAAAAGATTATTTTCAATCCCATTGATGATAGGATCAAGTTTAAGGTTGAAGTTCATGAGAGAGGGAATAATTTGAACTCAATTGAATGTGTCATGGCACTGAGCCTTATAATGCCATTAACCTAACACCCTCAGAAAATATATATTTTATTACAAAAAGAAGATGAAAAACGCTAACTAATCTCATAAATGATGTAGTCAAGTTGAAGTTTTTACAGTGATACATACAATTGACATGAACTCAATCTCCAATTAATTAAAATGAAGAAATGATAAGCACCTTGCAAAGAAATTCTAGGAAGCACTAATATAACAGCTTACCTCAATTCCCATTAGAGGTGGCATTTCAACTTGGGTGCATGTTAAGAACGTGATACCCTCACGAACAATTTGAAAAAGGTAATGTGTTGGCGAAGCAATAACCGGTACAAGCTATCAACCAACATCAAACAATTTAGAAATTGATATGAAATGAAACCCAAACATATGACAAGAAAGGGAGCTATTAGGGTGTGCACATCATCAAATTGTACACATCATGTGCACCTTACCTTTTAACCATTGGATATCTACAAATTAATCTACACTGTTAAATAATTTAATTAGGTTAATTCGATACCTTCTCAACCGGTTACATTCTCTCTCTAAAAAACCCTCACGTTGTTTACAAGTTTGGGTGAAACATTTGAGGAACTAATTGATTATTGAATCAATTAAGTTTATTATATCAAGGATCCTTATAATCAATTGTGGTTGTTGAATCTCCCTTATACTCTAATGGATTGTACAATCAATTAAGGCCTCGTTTGGGAACAGGCTAATTTAGTAATTTTTTGGCTATTTGGCTAAAAAGGTAGGTAAAAAAAACTTGTATGTTTGGGATGACTTTTTGACTAATTGCGAAAAGATGTGCAAAAAGTAGAGAGAAAAGAGAATCTTTGACTTTTTTGTATGAGTTGTTGGCTTTTTGGCTAATTTAGGCCTCGTTTGGTAAGAGGCTATTTTAGCCAATTAGCCAAAAAGTTACTAAATTAGCCAAAAAGCCAACAGTCCATACCAAAAAGTCAAAGATTCTCTTTTCTCTCTACTTTTTGCACATCTTTTCGTAATTAGCCAAAAAGTCATCCCAAACATACAAGTTTTTTTTACCTACCTTTTTAACCAAATAGCCAAAAAGTTACTAAATTAGCCTGTTGCCAAACGAGGCCTTAGTAACTTTTTGGCTAATTGGCTAAAATAGCCTCTTGCCAAACGAGGCCTAAATAACAATAACATAACAGAAATGCTAGGCTCACCACCTAATTTTGCCACTTTCTCTCCCCACCTTAGTTGGCATCTCCTTGCCATTTCCCACGTCACCCTAGCGGGCCCATCACCAAAGAGCACATTTCGCATTCGGAAATCAAATTTAAGTGATATCATCAAATTGGGTTTGAATTTGTACTAGAAAATATTTACTGTGTGTTTGGTTTGATTTTTTTTTTTTTTTTAAAAAAAATTAGATGAATTTTCATTTATTTTTAGTGATTTTTTTTTATTTTATATTTTAGTCAATTATTTATACTTTTTAGATGCACCTAATCAAAATGCATCTCAAAAGTAAAACAAATTGATTAATATATTAAAAAAATCAGTAAAAACAAACAAAAATTGGAACAAAAATCTGTGCGCATATGATTTTGTGGTGGTGGTGGCGGTGGGTCCCATAAAAGAGACGTGGGAAATGGCAAGGAGGTGTCAACTAAGGGGAGAAGAGAAAGTGGTAAAACTAGATGGTAAGCCTAGCATTACTGATAACATAAACCCCTATCAATCGATTGTACAATCAGTTGTGATTGTTCAATCCCCCTTTCATTTACAATGGTTACTAATCAATTGTACAATCAATTGTGGTCTTTCAACCCAATCGATTTTGCAATCTATTATGATTTTCCATTCACTCTTTCATGCCAATCGAATATACAATCGCTTGTGCTATAACGACAAAAATTAGAACAGTTTTATGATATTTGTGTTATATGCTATACCAATAGATTAGACAATCAATTGTGTTTGAAATTTTAAAAGTTACGATATTTTGTTAATGTTGTTCTGATTTGGGGAAAAAATTACAATCAACGTACTATGATTATGATTCATTAGTAAAAGTTATGATTTGTACTAGTAAAAATTATAATTTGTTATGGTGAATCATTATAAAAAATGTTATGATAATTTGTTGGAAATAAATAACTACATTTGTTATGAGTGGTTGTCATATTATTATGATTGATAATGTCTTTATTATGACACTGTGGTGTATATTATGACATTATTATGATTCGTTGTAGTAATTGTTATGATATTTGAAAAAAAAGTTACGATTCTTTCATGTAACTTGTTGGAAGACCAATTTAGTAGGTCACTTTTTATGATGTACCACAATATAGACCACATAGTAGGTGCATATCATATGCCCTTCTACGAGGTGCACATTGTAGACCATTCCGACAAGAAACTAAAGCTAGTCACCAACAATTTGAGTATTGCTGCTACAGCTATTAAAGGTGGGTACCTTGAAGGAATCACCTTGTGAGATTGCTTGTTCCCAAAACCAAGCACATATAGACCGATCAACCCGATGTCCAGTGAGCTGTTTCTCAAGCATTACCTCCCTGCACAATACCCAAATCACCAAAAATTTGCCCTTCTTATATTCTTTCAACCCAAAACCCATTAATGATAAAGAACAAAAGATAAATAAAAACAATTCACCTTTCAATTCAGAAGATTAACAACAGTTATAATTCAGGAAAAAGAGACTTCAACGAAATCAATTCCACAGTAACCCCAACACAAAATTACGTAGCAAAGACAAATAAATAAAATAACATAAAATAAAAAAATTTAGTGGAAATCCAGAGATCACAGTAATTCTTTTGATTTGCCAGGATTTCTCAGCGACCAAACATAGCATAACGCAGTACAGATTTTGAACATTACGTAATAAAGAGTATCGGGACAATCATGATATGCAGATCATGAAGTGGAATTGAGGATCGAAGTTGTTAATTTTTTTCAAATTAATCGAAAGGGAGAAGATTTCAGAAATAGTGAATGAAGATTTGGAAGAACCTACCCAGAATCTGAGAGAAGAAATATACACTGCAACATCTCCCTCTATCTGTCTCTCTCTCTCTCTCTCTCTTGTTTTTCTCTCTCTAGGATGGACAGAGATGAAGCAAATCGAATTTGATTGTTTAAGTGGTAGAAAAAATGGTTTACCAGATACTCCCCCTCCGTCCAAAATATTATCCTCTCATTTTATTTATTAGGATAACGGGTGCTGCTGCACAGTTGCCCCTTTTGGGACATCTTACCAGATGTTTTCAATAATCTGAATCGTTCCTATTGTAAAATTTGTTAAGAATATTATTTTTGTGAAATATCAAATTAATTGAATATTCATAATTCTTTCATTAGATTCTAATTGTTTTTAAAAATTTATGAAAATTATACTAACCGTTAATTTTTATAGAAACAAATGTGCTTTGGTTATAGAGTTACAGATATTCAATCAACTTTATTTTTTGTATGAATGATCTACTCGACAAACCCTACAATATGATTGGTTCAGATTATTGAAAAACGCTCAAAAAAATCTCTCCCAAAAGGCACAACAGTAACTACGGAGTAGCACCCCTCTCCGTATTTTTTGAGACAAATTACTTACCTCTCCTTTTCCAAGTTTAACTAAGGCTAGCTTTGATATGCCTTAAAAAAGTCAAAAAGTCACTATTATATTTTAATTCACATCACCTCTCTACCACATCATTTTAAATTCAACCCATATTTCATAAAAAGTCAAAAAGTACACTTATTTAGAATATTCTAAACAACTCTTAATCAGTCCCGTTACAGAGCCCGATTTTCCTATGGCTCGACTGCCCCGAATTTCAAAACGACGCCGTTTTGATTTTTTTTTTTTTTTTCCCCCTCCTTTCTTTCTCACTGTTGCAGATGAAGATGAAGATGAAGATGAAGTGCAGAAGAAGAAGAAGAAGAAGAAAAGAGAAAGAAGAAGAAGAAGAAGAAAAGAGAAGAGAGCAGCTGCATCCTCATCAACATCATCATCATCATCATCACAATTTTTTTTTTTTCCCTCATCTTTAGATTTAGATCCAGTAGAAAAAAAAAAAAAAAAAAAAAAAAAAAAAAAAAAAAAAAACAAACAACAACTTCATCAACACAGCACATCTTCATCATTAACATCTTCATCAACACAGCCAACTTCTTTTTTTTCCCCCCTTTATTTTTAGCTCCAGATCCAGAGAAAAAAAAAATAAATCAACATCTTCATCAACACAGCACATCTTCATCATCAACATATTCATCATCAACATCTCCAGATCCAGAAAAAATAAATAAATAAATAAATAGAGTGGCGAGTGGCGACCCACTGGCGATCACCATCGAAGCCATCACCGTCTTTTCCCCTTATTCTCTCTTCCTCTTCTCTTCTCTTCTCTTCTCTCCTCTTTCTCTCTCTTGCCTCTCTTCCTCTGTATTCAAAAGCAACAACAGAAAGAAAGAAAAGAAAAGAAAAAAAAAACGAAATCCAAAACAACGTCGTTTTGGATTTCGAGCCAAACGGGATTTCGAGCCCTCAAACATTCTTGACTCTTAAATTCCAAATTTCTCCTTAGATTTTAGAAATTACATTTTGCCCTTCGAGTTTTATATTCTCATAGCAATTTAACTCTTATCGTTAGCTAAACGTTAAAAATGATTAGCTGACATCACCAAAATATAAATTGATAGACGATATTGCTCTTACTTAAATCCCTTTGATAAATCAAAAAAAAAAATTACAAAAAAATTACGTTAGATGAAAAAAAAAAATTAAGATTTTGGAACTATGCTTGATTTGTTGTTTAGAAAAAAAAAAAATCAGAATTCAAAAAAAATAATAAAAACTAATTTAATAAAAATAAATATAAAAAAATATATTTAATTTGTAAAAATTATTTCTAACCACTCAAAAAGATAAAATTATATAAAAAGAATAGTTATTTTTTATTTTTTTATCTCTTAACCAAATTATTTTTTAATTTTTTTAAAAAAATTTAAAAATAAATTTCTAAAAATCAAACCAAACATATTCTAAGAATTTTTTGACAAACCATTTCTTGTGTTTTTAGCTTATTTAATTATTTGTTAATTTTAGGATATTTTTATTATCTGACACTACAACATATAAGAGTTTTAGAGACTAATTTTTTTAATCTCAAAAAATGAAAATTTTGCTGCAAAAGACATTTAAGGACTAATTTCTATCGTCGTAAAGATAGTCGCTAAAAGGTCTGTCTTGAAAAGTCAAAAATAAGGTTTTTAGTGATAAAATTTCGAAAATGCCAATAATAAATAGACTTTTAAGGACAAAATAATTTAGTCTCAAAATGATTTTTTTTTTAGACAAAAAATTTGATACCAAAAATATAATAATTAATCATTAATGTTCAATTTTCTTTGCTAAAAATATAATAACAACACTTTTCGCAACAAAAATATTTGATCCCCTAAAAAAAAATTTGTTCTTAAATTTTGGTCTCTAAAACCTTACTTTTTTTGTAGTGTGACAAGTCTTTTTCCATTTTAATTTTGCATTACATAACTTATTTAAAAATGATAATTTAGCTAAACCTCAGGGGAATCTGTAATTTAGCTAAATCTCAAGAGGTGTAGGTAATTTGCCCTTATTTGTCAAAAAGGCATTTTCATCAATTTATGATATCCGTTAATAGTGTTAATTACGATGGGGCGGGATGTAATTTTTGAAACCTCTAAACCTCAAGGGAGGTGTAGGTAATTTGCCCTATTTTTTATTATCTTAAAATATTAACCTCTTTTCAAAAATTAAAAATTAAATAATATAAATTTCTTATTTTGCCTTTTTTTAAAAAAAAATTATTAACAATACAAAAAATATAATTATGACTATTATTATTCTAAAAAAAAACACTATCAAAGGGTAATTTTAGAAAATTAATATTTTTAAAGTGCAATAATTATACTACCAAAAAGTTAGGGTCCATTTGGTGTAGTTTTAGAATTATGATTTGAGTGTAGAACTGTGTTTTGAATTTTGAGTTTTTGAATTATGATTTGAAAAGAAAAAATTTATTTAATTATAAGTTTTGAAAATAGTTTTAGAATGATTTGTAATTTTTTTTCTCGATTGATTGATGCATAGAATGTAAGAGGAGAGAGGAGAGAGGAGAGATGAGAGATGAGAGAGAAAAAGTAATTGATTAATTGATTAATAATAATTAAAAGAGAGAGAGAGAGAAAGAGAAAGAGGAGAGAGAGAGATAGAAGAAATGAGTTTTGAAAGTAATTTTAAATTGTATTTTAAAAATTTATTCGGTTATAAATTTTGATTCAAATCATGATTTGAAAACATAATTGAATTTTAAAAATTAAACCAAACGCTACCTAAATTTCTCAAAAGGACCTATTATTTTAGACCGGAGAGAGTATTATTATCGAGTTTTGGGACACCAGCATGAAACGTTTTTTAGAGAAAAAATGTAGCAAACCCTAAAAAATCTACCAAACACCCCTTATATTGGAAAATTTTATTTTCACATACCTACTTATTTCAGTACATATTATTTTTTAATGTACACATTCATTAATTTAGTTATTGATTATTTTTCTCATTTTACGCACCTGATATTCTAATTATATCCCAACTCATATCATTATACACACAACACCTAAACCTTCTTTCCACACACCTTTACCCATTTCTGTTGAAAGCCCTCATCCCACAGAGTTCGGATCTTCGGCCGCTCTTTCCTGCAGCACTCCCAACAGCACTACAAAACGACGTCGTTTTGTTTTTTTTTTTTTTCCTTTCTTTGCTTCTTATTCAGCTTTCCCCTTTCCTTTTTTGAACCCTAGACACAGAGGTGACGATACAGGACGAAGGAGAGGAGACGATCTGGACGATCTAGAAATGTGAACTGACGAGGTTCGTTTCTCTCCCTTTCGATTTTTCCATAGATTTTCCATTCTTTTTTTTGCCCATACTCTTTTTGGTTGATGAACATAGATTCTGACAATGGTTGATAAACATATGTTCAGAATCTTTAACATTGTTGATGAACATAAAAATATAATTTAATGTGTTCAGAATGTTTAACAGTTGAACTATGAACATAGATTCCATTCTTAAATATGAACATATTTTAGAACCTATTCTTAAATGTGTTAACTTGACAATGTTAACCTGACTTCTATTTTGAACATAGATTCCATTCTTAATTTAATTTATGAACACATTCTTAATTTAACAATGTTAACTTGACTTCTCTGAAATGTGCAAAATATGTTCAAAAGTTGGAATCTATGTTTAACAGTTGAACAATGTTAACTTGACTTCTATGAAATGTGCATAATTTAACAATGTTAACTTGACTTCTGTTTTGAACATAGATTCCATTCTTAAATATGTTCAAATAAAATAGAATTTGAGAAATAGGTTTGATTACACAGGTTGAACATAGAACATATTTAAGAATGAAATCAAATATTCCATTCTTAAATATGTTCAAATAAAACAAAATTCCATGCTCATATTTCTTAACATATTTAAGAACAGGATTACAAATATTTTTATTTGAACAGGGTGAACAAATTCTTATTTCTCAGAACATATTTCAGTTGAACATAGATTACATATATTCTTATTTCCTGTTTTGATTACACCCTGTTCAAATATTTGATTCTGTTTTGAACATTTGACTTCTGTCATTGAATCTTGAATTTGAGAATGATTTGTAGAACATATTTGATTCTGACAATGATCTTGAATTTGAATTTGATAACGATATTGAATTTTAAAAATGGAAAAAGTATATCAAAATGGGTTACCTGAATTTTGGATTTCAAATGAAGGGATTTGAAGTTGAAACTTTATAGAAAATGGTATGAGAGTTAGCTATTATTAGATGGAATCAGAAACTAATGAGGAAGTCCGTGATGCTTATAATTGTAATAATGCAGATTAAAGGAAAGTGATTTTATTATGATTTTTTTGTATTGTCTATCATAACCCATCATGGTAAATCTCTCAAATTTTATGTTGAAGTCCATATCTAAACTATCATTTCTAAATTTGAGCTATTCTCATTGAACAATTAGTGCCCAAATTATTCTTTGTTATATGCGAATGGACCAATGTGCCAAAAATGGGGTTAGTAGAATAGATAATCTTAATCACAACAAATTTCTTTCTATTGTGATGCTTATGAGCTTCAAGGATTATTTTCCTTGAATTAC